CTGCCCCGTCCCGCCGAGGGGCTGCCACGGAGGGTGGGTTTTGCTGGATCTTTGGGCCGTGGCCGATAGCAGCCGCCCCGCAGAGCCCATGGAAACCATCCACACCGATAAGTGGAAAACAATTTGTGCTAGAGATAGCAATCACTATCATGTTGGTTAAAACACGTAAACTAGAAAACACCACCGCAGCAAAAACAAAGGGAACGAGTCACTGCTGGCCAGGCCACAGCTGTGAATGATTAAAGATAATTAATTCTGCTAAATACACGTACACACATTTCTCCTGCAGCCTCCTTAATTGTCTTGACCTTTTGCCAGGCGAGGAGCGGACGCGCAGGCAGGGGCAGCCCTGCTCCTCCGGGGCACGGGGGGCGCGCGGAGCCGCGGCAGCGGGGCAGGGAGCGACGCAGAGCCGCCGCGGGGAGCACGGGCACGGCACCACCTGAACCGGAGAACCTGGATCTCACTGCTACGGGAACAAAGCCAGGCTCAGATGTCAAATTATGTCCAGGCAAAAAAAAAAAAGTCCCAAGTTGGCGAAAGATAATCAGAGTGAAATCCTCCTGCTCCACACCTCCAAAGCATTTATTACTTAAAGCACATGAAAAGAGAAGAAAAAGACAGAGAGTATCACAGCTCCACTGACAAAAATGGCAGTTCTCTGCAACCAGCTCCACTCCCGGCAGCGCCATCGGTGCAGCCACCGGTGAGCCCGGCAGCACCGCGCACCTCCGCTGCGCTTTGAACTGCTTTAACTTATTTGGCAGGGAAAAAAAAAAAAAAAAAATTGTTTTAATCAGAGACGGCACATTCTATTGATAAAAAAAGCATTTGAAACTACAGCGTAGCCATTCTTAGAGATAGGTGCTGGGCCAAAAGGAGATATCTGCAGCAAAACAACTGCGCAGCCTGCGAGCGGGAGCGTGTTGCTAAGGTGACGTGCTGCGGGACAGCCTGCTGCGCCCGAGCTGCTCTGCAGCACCGAGGAAGTAGTGTTTTCCTCCTTTTCCAACTCGAAACAGCGGGGAAAAAAATTCCCAGAATAAAAAGAGAAAACCCTGAAGACGGTATGAGGAGTCCGACGCCATGCGGAGCTCGAGCCTGCTGCCCCGGCTGACCCCGGGCACGCTGGGCACAAACTGCTGAAAAATGATGCTGGAGAAGGCATTTGGGAGAGCGAGGAGTGTGCGGGGCAAGGGGCAGCGGCACTGCCACACACGCTCGGGTACCACGCACGCTCGCAGGGCGAGCTCGCTGCCTCTCCTGCCAGCGGTTCCTCATGGAGCTTTTTAAAAAGTGTATTTATTTTTAAAGCCAGGGATGAGGAGCGCTCTCACCAGCCGTCCCCTGCAAACATTAAAGCTGCGAGAAGTAACAGACTGATGCAGCAATAGTGACTCCGGTAACCAAAACAGCTGGAAGGAACAGAAGAAGATACGTGCCAGTTTGCCCTTCAGTTCTTTGAAAGACACAGGCTATCCCGGCCCGAGACAGGAGAAAACAGGCGATTTTTTAGATGACCAGCATCTCCCTAACTTCAGTTGCCGCGTCCGCAGACGTGCCCGTTGGCAGGGCCAGCACAGGCAGGCACGGGGCTCGCCGGGACGTTGCGGACTGCGGGAATTCAGGCTTTTCTGCAGAGATCCCCTTGGAAAGACATCAGAACAAAGAGATCTCCTCTCTTTCGAGAACAGTAAATCACAGCTGGGTTTATCACAGGAATCCTGACGGCGTGAACATGTCCCAAGAAGGAAAATTAAAGGTTTCACCTACTGATGGGTCAAAGAACATCATAATAGCAAGTTTCACTGGAACCGGGGTCTGTAGAGCAGAGGAGGAAATTTGCAGCAATTACGTTCCTGACGCAGGAGCACGGACAGGGATTGCTCACGCTCTGTGTTTCACAGGGGATAACTGCCGGGACACCTGAACATGAGACAGGCGGCAGCGCAAATAGGCTTAGAGAGACAGCAAGAGGCAGAAATGAACTTCATTTTCTATTTATACACTCCCCTCCCTCCACCCTGCCTGTGCCTGTCCCTGGGATCTGTCCTCCTCCCACCTCCAGCTTTCCCTTCCCCTCCCGTGCCGGGGATGCGCTTTCCCCGGGAGTGGGCGGATGAGCCCCTCTCACCCGCCGAAGTGCGGGGGACCACCGCGGGAAACCCACTGCATTTCCCTCTCCTCTGCTGCTCAGCCACCTCTGAGGTGCTTATACCAACTGACATTTAATCTGTGTTAATCATTGCCTTTTTTTAATGCATCGACTGTATTAGGGCAGTTTTATTACTGTTATTAACGGCAGCCCCACGCCACACGAGGAGCCCCCGTCCCTTTTCGCTAAGCAACAGCGAACACACAAACCAAAAAAACAGGAGATGTAAGAGAACGTGGGACAGACTCTCGCTCTCTGTCTGACTGATAGAGACTGACTTCTGCTTTTAGTGTAAGAGATCTCCACAGTAATACTGTGAGAAATATTTTTTTAGCTCATCTGATAAAAACGCAAATCTTGATTATTCATACATTACTTAAAATAAAATTAAAAAACCCCAACCGAACAGAAAGAGATGAGGCAATCCCCTCCGAGAAGCGCAGCCCGGCTCTGCAGGGCCAGGAAGGGGCCCTGCGATTTTGCCCGCGTTCTGGACGCACCGCTCTCGGCTCCCCTCGCCGGGGACGGGGCAGCACCCAAACCCCACCGCTCCCCACCCCAGAGCATCCCCCTTCCCCGCGCAGGTCGCCCGGGGCAGA